ACTCTCTGCCCCGGAGTGTGGTGGAGGCTCCTTCTTGGGAAGCTTTTAAACAGAGGCTGGATGGCCATCTGTTGAGGGTGCTTTGAATGCAATATTCCTGCTTTTTGGCAGAATGGGGTTGGACTGGATGGCCCACGAGGTCTCTTCCAACTCTTTGATTCTGTGATTCTATGATTCTCCTTAGGGTCAGGAATTTCTTCCTAAATTACAAGGAATCTCCCCTGTAATTTGAACTCTTTCCTGTAATTTGAACCCATGGTTCTATTGATCTCCAGAGCAGCAGAAAGGAAGCCTGCTCTCTCTTCCTTAGGACATCATAGAATCTTAGAGCTGGAAGGCGCTGAACAGACTGTGCTATGGCACCACGAGATGCAGAGCCAACCTTCAGAAATGGGGCCACAAAGTGGAGTCCACGACATGCGAGTGTGGAGAGGAGCAAACCACTGACCACTTACTGCAATGCAACCTGAGCCCTGCCACATTGTGCACAAGGGAGGACCTTCTTGAGGCAACACCAGAAGCACCCCAAGTGGCCAGATACTGGTCATAGGAATCATAGAATCATAGAATCAAAGAGTTGGAAGAGACCTCATGGACCATCCAGTCCAACTCCATTCTGCCAAGAAAAAGGAAAATCGCATTCAAAACACCCTCGACAGATGGCCATCCAGCCTCTGCTTCAAAGCTTCCAAAGAATGAGCCTCCACCACACTCCCCCTGGGAGAGAGAGAGAGTTCCACTGCTGAACAGCTCTCTCTCCCCATCAGGAAGTTCTTCCTCATGTTCAGGTGGAATCTCCTTCCTTTCCTGTAGTTTGAAGCCATTGTTCCAATGTATCCTGGTCTCCAGGGCAGCAGAAGACAAGCTTGCTCCCTCCTCCCTAGGACTTGCCCTCATATTTATACATGGCCATCATGTCTCCTCTCAATCTTCTCTTCTGAGGCTAAACAGACCCAGCTCTTTGAGATGCTCCTCAGAGGGATCATTCATGGTCTCCAGACCTTGGATCCTTTGAGTCTCCCTCTTCCTCTGGACACCTTCCAGCTTAGAGTCAAGATCTCTCTAAACTGTGTCCACAATGGGACACAGGGTGAGTCCAGGTCAAGAGGTCTAACCAAAGAGAGAGGCACCATGATCTCCCTCAATCTAGACTCTCTACTCCAGTGTTTCTCAACCTTCCTAATGCCACAACCCCTTAATACAGCTCCTCATGTTGTGTTGACCCCCAACCACAACATTATTTTTGTTGTTGCTTCATAACTCTAATTTTGCTACTGTTATGAATTGTAATGTAAATATCCGATATGCAGGATGTATTTTCTTTCATTGGACCAAATTTGGCACCAATACCCAATACACCCAAATTTGAATACTACTGGGGTTGGATTTTGTCAATTGGAAGTTGTAGTTGCTGGGATTTGTAGTTCACCTACAATAAAAGAGCATTCTGAACTCCACCAACAATGGAATTGAACCAAACTTGGCATGAATACTCAATATGCCCAAATGTGAACACTGGTGGAGTTTGGGGAAAATGGAGTTTGACATTTGGGAGTTGTAGTTGCTGGGATTTGTAGTTCACCTACAATCAAAGAGCATTCTGAACTCCACCAACAATGGAATTGATCTAAGTTTGGTACATGGAACTCCCATGACCAACAGAAAATACTGGAAGGGTTTGGTGGGTACTGACCTTGAGTTTGGGAGTTGTAGTTCACCTACATCCAGAGAGCACTGTGGACTCAAACAATGATGGATCTGGACCAAACTTGGCATGAATACTCAATATGCCCAAATGTGAACACTGGTGGAGTTTGGGGAAAATGAAGTTTGACATTTGGGAGTTGTAGTTGCTGGGATTTGTAGTTCACCTACAATCAAAGAGCATTCTGAACTCCACCAACAATGGAATTGAACCAAACTTAGCACACTGAACTCCCGTGACCAACAGAAAATACTGGAAGGGTTTGGTGGGCACTGATCTTGAGTTTGGGAATTGTAGTTCACCTAACATCCAGAGAGCACTGTGGACTCAAACAATGATGGATCTGGACCAAACTTGGCACGGATACTCATTATGCCCAAATGTCAACACTGGTGGTGTTTGGGGAACATAAACCTTGACAGTTGGGAGTTGTAGTTGCTGGGATTTGTAGTTCACCTACAATCAAAGAGCATTCTGAACCCCACCAACAATAGAAGTGGCCCAAACTTCCCACACAGAACCCCTATGACCAACAGAAAATACTGTGTTTTCTGATGGTCTTTGGTGACACCTCTGACCACGACCCGCATGTTGAGAACCACTGCTCTACTCCTTCTGGTGGAGCTCAAAATCCCAGCATTAGGTTTCACAGTCTGGCTGGTTTGAGGACATTTTGGACCTTTCTGTGTTTAAAAGGACTGAGAAGAGGACCTCCTTCCCCTCAAGGGCCTTATATGAGACAGCAGGAGGGCTGTTCCACACGCCACCCGACCAAGGCATAGGCTTCACTATGCAAACCGCAGACGTGACACGTGTCCTATTACCCATCTGGGCTGTGCACTGGGATGCTTGCTGGGGATCCTTGCTGGAGGCAGCGTCCTGTGGGGTGCCAGCAGAAAGTGGCCAGGGGACCATCTCTGTTGACCGCTGTGCCTTTGACCCTGCACCTGGTCTCTCTCCAGGGATATGGCTTTCCTGTCCATCAGCTCTTCGATTTACTCCTGGAGATCCGGGATCAGTACAGCGAGACCCTGCTGAAGACCTGGGCGGGATCCTTCCGGTAAGAAGCGGTTGTCTTCTTTATTTTCTGGGCTGTTCCCATAGCGATGCTTAAAGCTAGAAAATGCACAAGTATCTATCCTCACAGCTACAGAAGTGGCCAGCATGGCTGAGGAATTCTGGTGTTGCTCCCCAAAAGCAACTTTTCAGATCTCTGTTGAAATTATAAGGGCAAATCTCAGGGTAAAACTGATAGCAGATGGTTTTACAAGTGGCAGGATTTGAAATACCATATATACTCGAGTATAAGCCGGGTTTTTCAGCCCTTTGTTTTAGGCTGAAAAAGCCCCCCTCTGCTTATACTCGAGTCAAAGTTATTTATTATTTTACTATTATTATTATACTCACACAAAAACACAGTATGACACAGCAAACAAGATATATATGCTGGATTATATTATTATTATTACATTTACATTATTTTATTTTTTACACCCCTACTCTAGTATTATTTTTATTACATTTATTATTTTACTATTTGTAATTATTATTATTACATTTATTATTTTACTCTATTATTATTATTATTATTATTATTATTATTATTATTATTTTCACACAAAAACACAGTATGACACAGCAAACGAGATATATATGCTGGATTATTATTTTTATTATTATTATTACATTTACATTATTTTATTATTTACAGTATTTATATACCGCTTTTCTCACCCCTACTCTGTTATTTTTATTACATGTATTATTTTACTATTTGTTATTGTTATTATTACATTTATTATTTTACTCTATTATTATCATTACTATCTATATATATAAATTTGTTAGGGGCATCCAACGAGGAAACAAAACTCAAAAAACCCCCAACGAAACTTAACCAAAATTCCCATGCCCATAACACAACCCACAAGGTACAAACATATCTACTCAAAATGAAAAACAACAAAACAACACACTCACAAAACGGCAAAACAACAAAACTCAAAAATCCCCCAACGAAACTTAACCAAAATTCCCATGCCCATAACACAACCCACAAGGTACAAACATATCTACTCAAAATGAAAAACAACACAACAACACACTCACAAAACGGCAAAACAACTGAGCATGCGCATTGGCGCCAGCCGCAAGTTCCCTGGCGCGCGCACATGCCCTTCCGGCCAACGTTCCCTCTGCGGAAACCATGCCCACTCCAAGCCCCGCCGCGCCGCTTCCCGCACACACACACACCCCTGCCGCACATACACACACAACCCCACACTCCATCACTCCCCCCGCCGCCGCACACACACACGCAACCCCATCCCCCCCCCCGCCGCCGCACGCACACACGCAACCCCACTCCCCCCGCCGCCGCACACACACACGCAACCCCACACTCCATCACTCCCCCCGCCGCCGCATGCACACACGCAACCCCACTCCCCCCGCCGCACACACACACGCAACCCCACGCTCCATCACTCCCCCCCGCCGCACACACATGCAACCCCACGCTCCATCACTCCCCTGCCCCAATCTTACCTCCTTTTACTTCACGCCACCTCCAAACCCCCCCCCGCCCCTTCCCGCCCTGTCAAAATCTAGGAAAGACAGGAAGGAAGGAAAGAAGGAAGAAAGAGAAAGGGAGGTAAAGAAAAAGGGGGGAAGGAAGGAAAGTTAGAGAAAGAAGGAAGAAGAAAAGGAAAGAAAAGGAAAGATGGAAGGAAAGAAAAGAGAGACAGCAGAAAAGAAAGAAAAAGGGGGAAGGAAGGAAAGAGATAGAGAAAGAAGAGGAGAAGGAAAGATGGGAGGGAAGGAAGGAAGGAAGGAGGGAAAGAAGGAGAGAAAGAGGGAAGATTGGCCACAGCAACACGTGGCGGGTAAAGGTTGTTATTTCTATTATTATTATTATTATTATTATTATTATTATTATTATTATTATGAGGCTATTGTTCCTATGAGACCCTGGGGGAATGGGAGAGGTGTCAGGTCCCAGAGGCAATGCATTGCATTATTGTTATTGTTATGATGGTGGTAAAATAAAAGGAAATAAAAAGTGAAAGAAGGAAGCAAACAGGGAGAGAAGAAAGGCAAAGGAAGAAAGGGGGAGGGAATGAAGGAAAGAGAGAAGGATGAAACCAAGTAGTGAAAGAAAGAAAGAGGTAGAGAAGGAAGAAAGGAGAGAAAGGGGAGGAAAAGGGGGAAGGAATAGGTAGGTACCTCTCTTTCATAATAGTCCAGATCTACCTCAACTTTGATAAGTTTTACTATAGGCCACAGCAACGCGTGGCAGGGCACAGCTAGTTATTATTATACTGACACAAGAACACAGTATGACACAGCAGATGAGATATATATGTTGGATTTCATTATTATCATTATTATTATTATTACCTTAACATTATTTTATTATTTACAGTATTTATATACTTCTTTTCACCCCTACTCTATTATTATTTTTATTACATTTATTATTTTACTATTTCTTATTATTATTACATTTATTATTTTACTCCATTATTATTATACTGACACAAAAACCCAGTATGACACAGCAAATGAGATATATATGTTGGATATTATTATTATTATTATTATTATTATTATTATTACATTATTATTATTTTATTACATTTGTGTTACTTTGTATTATTGTTGTTACATTCATTATTTTACTCTATTATTATTACATTTCCATTATTTTACCCTATTATTATTATTTTTCATTGATTATTTTACTATATTATTATTGGAAGGATACATAAGCACATTTACATTGAAGAAAGTTAGAATAATGGATTAATCGGAGTTGGACGTAAATTGCAGTTTTATGTAAACATTCAAAGACGTTGAACGTCCTGATTCCCCAGTTAATGTAATTTTTTTGGTATCTATTTTTATTTTGAAATTTGCCAGTAGCAGCTGCATTTCCCACTCTCGGCTTATATTCAAGTCAATAAGTTTCCCCAGTTTTTTTGTGGTAAAATGTGGTGCCTCGGCTTATATTCGGGTCGGCTTATTCTCAAGTATATACGGTGCTTCGCCACCCGAAACACAATGTAAGCCTAATGCTTGGGAAAGGAAAGAGCCCTTCCAAGCAAGAAACCAAAAATGGTAAGGCGTTGAAGTATTTCCAGGTGGATCCACCAAAAGCCTTTTGGTGGATCTACCTGGAAATGCGTGACTGGCAAATCCCCAACAGTCTTGATGCTACGCTCTATCGCATCCCCTGCTGCTTCCTCGTTTCCCAGGCAGATTCTGGATTCCGACAACTACAGTCCCATCCCAGTGGCCAACGAAGAGCTGTACCAGAAGATGGTGGGCCAGTTTCCCTTCCACGATCCAGAGCTGGAGAAGGTGAGCGAATGCTGTGCTGCGTAAGTGAGGGAATGAGTGGGCGGTGGGATCTCGAATGCTCCCTTTGGAGTAACTGCTGGGCAAGGGCCTGTCAGGGTGCTTTGAGGCCAGCGGTGGAACCAGGTGCCCCGCTCAGGTTGCTCCAGAAGAGTTTGCTCCAGAGCAGCTTGGTGCCTGTTGCAGCTCAGAGTAAGCTTCACCTTGCTTCCAAACACCACCACACAAGAGCTGTAGTTTTTATTTATTTATTTATTTATTTATTTATTTATTTATTAATGCGCTTGTATACCGCTAATATCTCAGCCTAAATCGGCGACTCATTGCAGTTTACAACAATTAAAAAACAATATTCAATTTAAAAGCATACAACACATATACAATACAAGTTATTGGGCCACCAATAACAATCCCATGCATCTCGTAACTGAAATCGCAATCCAAAATTCGTCGTCCATGATTACCCATCCTTTAGTCATCAAAATTCGCTGCAACGGATTAACCGAATGCTTGTTTAAACATCCATGTCTTCAATCTTTTCCGAAACACCATCAGCGAAGGGGCTGATCGTACCTCTATGGGGAGGGTGTTCCAAAGCCGAGGGGCCACCACAGAAAAGGCCCTATCTCTCGTTCCCACCAGCCGCACTTGTGAAGCCGGCGGGATAGAGAGCAGGGACTCCCCAGAAGATCTTAGGGTCCTGGTGGGCTGATAGGCTGAGATACGTTCGGATAGATAAGTTGGGCCAGAACCGTTTATAGTTTTATAGTTTACTGAGGAAAAAATCCAAGTCAAAATAAAGAATAAGCATTGCAAAGTTCCAAAGATTCAGGTTAAATGCAGAATATAGTTCCAAAGATCTTCAGGTAAAAACAAGAGGCACAATCTTATAGGTAAAGTTCAAACCAGAGTCCAAGGTACAAGCAAAGACAATTGCCCCAAGAATCAAATGCAAGAAATCCCAAGCGTGCTGCTTTCCAGGCTAAGGTTATTCCATGAAGCTTTCAGGCTAATAAACTACATTGAACGGACGCTTTCCCTTAGTTTGCAAGAAGCCTAAATACCTTTCTAACATGAAAACATTATGCTCTCACCAACATGAAAGCATTGCGATGACCTTGGGCTGAGCTGGCCTCTCGTCTGCCAGCCAGGCGAGAACTCTGCCTGACCCGCAAATCAAGACGAGCCTGCCGGGTCAGGTCACTATCAAAGCTTTCTGCACTTTCAGTATCAGCGTGGGAAGGAGGCAAAGGCCTCCCCACCTGTTCTCTTTCTCCTTCGTTAAAAATCTTTTCTTCTGAGAACTGCTGTGTTGTTGACTCTCCACTGTCTGTGGGAGCCTCAGAAAAAAGACCTAGAAGCAGGCCCAGAGATCTGAGGCACAGAAAAAGAGCCAGGAATCTGAATCCCATCATCCTCATCATCAGGGAACATCTCAGCCACAACAGTGCCAACTCAAAGAGAGGGAGGGTGGATTGCCTTGAGAAGCTCCTCTGTCCTTAGAAAGGGAAGCTTGGTGACCAAAGGGAACAGAAGGGTTCAACCAGAGTTTGGTGAGGATTATGGCAACCAGAGTTTGCCTTCTCACCAAACTCTGGATTATGGCAACCAGAGTTTGGTGAGGATTATGGCAACCAGAGTTTGCCTCCTCACCAAACTCTGGATTTTGGCAACCAGAGTTTGGTGAGGATTATGGCAACCAGAGTTTGCCTTCTCACCAAACTCTGGATTATGGCAACCAGAGTTTGGTGAGGATTATGGCAACCAGAGTTTGCCTCCTCACCAAACTCTGGATTATGGCAACCAGAGTTTGGTGAGGATTATGGCAACCAGAGTTTGCCTTCTCACCAAACTCTGGATTATGGCAACCAGAGTTTGGTGAGGATTATGGCAACCAGAGTTTGCCTCCTCACCAAACTCTGGATTATGGCAACCAGAGTTTGGTGAGGATTATGGCAACCAGAGTTTGCCTTCTCACCAAACTCTGGATTATGGCAACCAGAGTTTGGTGAGGATTATGGCAACCAGAGTTTGGTGAGTATTATGGTAACCAGAGTTTGGTGAGGATTATGGCAACCAGAGTTTGCCTTCTCACCAAACTCTGGATTATGGCAACCAGAGTTTGGTGAGGATTATGGCAACCAGAGTTTGCCTCCTCACCAAACTCTGGATTATGGCAACCAGAGTTTGGTGAGGATTATGGCAACCAGAGTTTGCCTCCTCACCAAACTCTGGATTATGGCAACCAGAGTTTGGTGAGGATTATGGCAACCAGAGTTTGCCTTCTCACCAAACTCTGGATTATGGCAACCAGAGTTTGGTGAGGAGGCAAACCAAGGACAACAATGGGAGCTGGACACTGTCCTCGCACTGGCAGCCCTTTATAGGGTGGAAGCGGGCTTTCCTTTTCTTAAGGAGAATATCTAAGGCAGGGGTGACAAGCTCATTTTCATGGAGGGCCATCTCCATGTCATCCTTGCCTTCCAAGGGCTGTTGAATCCATGGACAGCGAATCCGGTGTCCGGTGCTCTCTAGTTCTTGCCCAGTTTGGGTCCCCAGGTATTATTGAGTGGCAAATCCCATCACTTTTGATTATCCTCCATGCGAACTGGGGATAATGGGGATTGTAGGTCAACGGCCCTTGTGGCTCTGCGGTTGGGGAAGAGTTAAAGTGCATTTTAAAGTTAGAATTCATATCCACCTGTCTTGTATTGACAGTGGAACCCCACTCTCCTGGCCAAACAGAACACACTGTAGCCTGCTGGATGTTCTTGTATCTCAACTCCCATCAGTCACGATGTCTAATAGTGAGGAACACAGAGGGGTTAGAGTCCAGCATCTGGAGAAGGGCCTCCTTAAAGGAGATGGCGGTACGGATTGGGCCCACAGGGCTTGAGCTTGACACATAGGATGCAAGGCATCCTGTTGCCAGCTCCATCAGGGTGGCATGATGCAACGGGAGGAGCAGACCCAGTTTGGGTTCCTGCATGAGCCTGGAAAGGCACCTCCATGCCCAAGTGGCCTCTTTCCTGACTTCAGGTCATTTCTGGATTATGGCAACCCAAAGGTGGACTTATCACAGGATTTTCTTGGCCAGACTGCCTCCTGGTCTCCTCAGTCAAAGCACAACGGGTGTGTCTGTGGAAGCTCGGTGGCTGCTCTGAGCTTGGGCCTGTCAGTTTCAGCATCTCTCCCCTCTTTCCTGCCCCGTCCTTTTCAGCAACCGTTCCCCAAGAAGTTCCCCTTCTCCGAATTTGTGCCTCGGGTTTACAGCCAGATCAAGGAGTTCATCTACGCGTGCCTCAAGTTCTCTGAAGACCTCCACCTCAGGTAAGAATAACCCGATGCCGCCGACGTCTTCCTTTGATTTCTCCCCAACTGACAAGGCTCATGCATTCTTTCTTCTTGTAAGGCTTGATGGACGGACTTAGGAGCCCGGTATTGGACACATTCCTTCTTTGAGGGCTTCTCTGCTCAGGCAGAGCTCACCACCCCCATCCCTGTCCAACAAATGGCACAAAACACAATTTTTACCTTTTTGGCTGTGACCACCATGTCTGGCCTGAAGGTGCTGCTGGGGAGGGATTCTCTGGCCAAAGAGAGGGCCGGGGTTGAGGCAGCCCATGGATGGGGGTGCCAGCCAAAGCTCATGTGGGAAGCACCCATTGTGTGTGTATGTATCTGGTCCATAGTTTGTGTCTCCAAAGAGTCTGCTGCTGTCACCAAGCTTCTCTGATTGGAAAACATTGGGCTTATCATACAAGATTTCATGGATCACTTTGGTAGCAGAAAGACCAGCCACCTCCCCCATACACAGGGTCTACCAGACAATATTATTATTATTTATTATTTACAGCACTGGGATTGTGGCACAGCTGGCTGAGTGTCAGCTGCATTAAGATCACTCTGACCAAAAGGTCATGAGTTCGAAGCCAGCACGGGTTGGAGTGGGTTTCCAACCAATTGTGTGTAGCCTGTTGTCGACCTTTGCAACCCGAAAGACAGTTGCATCTGTCAAGTAGGAAAATAAGGTACCACCTTAAAGTGTGGGGAGGCTAAATTAACTGATTTATGAGGCCATAAAGAAGACTCCAGCAAAGCATTCCAGCGGGGAAGCATGCGGGGAATGCGGAAGTGCTTCATCAGCGTCGCAGATGGACGATGAAAGCGACAGCTCCCCTGGCGGCCAGAAAAAGTTAAATAGCCTCTGTGTATGTCTGTATATGTTTGTATGTCAAAAATTGGCATTGAATGTTTGCCATATATGTGTACACTGTAATCCGCCCTGAGTCCCCTGCGGGGTGAGGAGAAGGGCCGAATAGAAAAGCTGTAAATAAATAATAAATAAATTTATATTACGCCCTTCTCACCTCAAAGGGGACTCAAGACGGAGCACAGAATACATACATGGCAAACATTCAATGCCGCTAAACAGACAGGACAGACAACAGATAGAGGTATATGTCGGCATTTTTCCCAACTTGGGCGTCCTAGAGGTTGTACTCAATTCCGGCCATATGGGGGTGCTGTTGCTCCATCCTCTATGATAAAGAGCCTTGATCCCAGACTTCCTCCTTCCTTTGATCACCAGCATTTTCTGGTATTTCCTTTTTATGGTGCCATAAAATACCTCCCTGTTTAAGCAGTGCCTAATTTCTCTACTCACAGCTCACAGCTGTTTCCAAACTGCTTAGGTGGACAGTGGGCGGGGCTGAAGGTCGGGTGCTCACCTGGACCAGGGCTTCAAACTGCCAACCTTTTTGATTGGTGGGATCTATTACTGCTGGTGATTAACCAGCTGTGCTAAAGCCCAATCAGTGCTGAACCTGAGCAGTATGGAGCGAACGAGGCAATAGGGCAGTGGTTCTCAACCTGGGGTCCCCAGATGTTTTTGTCCTACAACTCCCAGAAATCCCAGCCAGTTTACCAGCTGTTAGGATTTCTGGGAGTTGAAGGCCAAAAACATCTGGGGACCCCAGGTTGAGAACCACTGCTAGATCCATTTAAATAATCAACCCCAGGTTGAGAACCACTGCAATAGGGGAAAGGGAACCCAAAATAGGTAAAGCCTGGCTACTCTAGAACCAAACTGAAATAAAATGTATAAGCAGGTGTTTACTCACAGCTTGTGCATAACCACCCACAGGTTCTGCTTCTTAAGACAAGATAGGGTTCTGCGTAGAATTAGAAAGGCTGGAGGGTCTTGTCCAGGGACGCTTGCTCACCGTGTGCTCCATGGGGAGGGGTTGGAGAGGAAAAGGGGAATGGGCAAACCCAGCGTGTACATGGATCAGGACAAGAACGTGTGAACAAACAGACAAACAAATGGGAAGTAAACAATCAACATGTCTTTTGTAAGCTTCTCTAGCAGGCCTTCCACGTGTTTTGGAGTTGTGTTAGGAATTGTGGGAGTTGAAGTCCAAAACAGCGGGAGGGCCAAAGTTTGCTCATGCCTGTTCTATAGCTATTCTGCCTTGGTTAGACCACATTGTGCATGTGGCAGGGCTCAGGTTGCATTGCAGCAGGTGGTCAGTGGTTTGCTCTTCTCCACACTCGCATGTCGTGGATTCCACTTTCTGGCCCATTTCTTGAGGTTGGCTCTGCATCTCATGGTGCCAGAGCGCAGTCTGTTCAGCGCCTTCCAAGTCACCCAGTCCTTCTGTGTGCCCAGGGGGGAGTCTCTCATTTGGTATCAGCCATTGGTTGAGGTTCTGGGTTTGAGCCTGCCACTTTTGGACTCTCACTTGCTGAGGTGTTCTAGTGAGTGTCTCTGTAGCTCTTAGAAAACTATTTCTTGATTTAAGTCGTTGACGTGCTGGCTGATACCCAAACAGGGGATGAGCTGGAGATGTCTCTGCCTTGGTCCTTTCACTATTGCCTGCTCCTTCCCGGTGGATGTCAGGTGGTGCAATACCAGCTAGACAGTGTAATTTCTCCCGTGGTGTAGGGCGCAGACACCCCGTGATAATGCGGCATGTCTCATTAAAAGCCACATCCACTGTTTTAGCGTGGTGAGATGTGTTCCACACTGGGCATGCATACTCAGCAGCAGAGTAGCATAGCGCAAGGGCAGATGTCTTCATTGTGTCTGGTTGTGATCCCCAGGTTGTGCCAGTCAGCTTTAGGGCATGACTGCCTAAAAGGCATGACTGGAATCTTATTTTATCCAAGAGGAAAAGTTGGGAGGTCTTGTCTCCACAAGGAGACGAAGGGCTTCAAAGATAAGGCCCCAACAACCTGTTTATTGTCAAGGTGAAGCTGGCCTTGTGGTCCAATGTGAGGACCAGATTCCTGGTTCTTCTCCTGCTCTGGCCTTTCTTGAGAGAGCGGTGGAGGAGTGGGCCAGGAAAGTCTGAAGCCAGTGGCCCTCTCCCTTCCCTTCCGCTTTCCCCCGTTGCTCCTGCCTAGAGGTCCCAACCACTTCTTGGAGAAATGCCCTGGAAATTGTGAGTCAGCCCTGGGCCAGTTTCTTGCCTCTCCACCAGCCAAGGAACCCGCAAAGCAGCAGGACTTTTGCAATTCCAACTCCGTTTCCCGGCAGTGTGAGATGGTTCCCAGCACCGACATCTGCTTCAGCAATCCCTCCCATATTAGTGTCCCTTGGTCTCCAAGAAAAAAAATGGGGTCAATAGAGATTTAACTGGATAGGAAATGCTTCAGTTTGAGACAGGAATGCTTAAGTCTCCGGTGGCCACCATATCTCAGAAGGGTTTCCTCTAGAGCTGTAATCCATGGCTTTGCATTCTTGCTTATGGGGATGAATGAAACCAAATCACCTTGCCTGTCTTCTAAGGAATCTGTATAAGGACCAAGTAGCAACAGTCGAAACTGACCATGGAACAACAGACTGGTTCAAGATTGGGAAAGGCCTATGGCAGGGTTGTATACCCCCACCCAACCTATTCAACTTGTATGCAGAACACATCATGCGATGCGCGGGGATTGAGGAATGCAAGGCTGGGGTGAAAATTGCTGGAAGAAACATTAACAACCTTAAATATGTAAATGATACCACTTCGATGGCTGAAAGCGAGGAGGAGCTCAGGAGCCTTCAAACTACAAGAGAGGAGATTCCATCTGAACATAAGGAAGAACTTCCTGACTGTGAGAGCCGTTCAGCCGTGGAACTCTCTGCCCCGGAGGGAGTGTGGTGGAGGCTCCTTCTTTGGAAGCTTTTAAACAGAGGCTGGATGGCCATCTGTCAGGGGTGATTTGAATGCAATATTCCTGCTTCTTGGCAGAATGGGGTTGGACTGGATGGCCCAGGAGGTCTCTTCCAACTCTTTGATTCTATGATTCTATGATTCTAATCAAGGTGAAAGAAGAAAGGGCAAAGGGTGGGATGCAGTTCAACATCACAAAAATCAAGATTATGGCAACAAGACTGATTGACAGCTGGGAAATAGAGGGAGAAAATGTGGAGGCCATGACAGACTTTGCATTACTAGGTGCAAAGATGACTCAGAGGGCAGCCAGGAAATCAGAAGATATTTCCTTCTTGGGAGGAGAGCAGGGACCAATCTCGATCAAAGAGTGAAGAGTAGAGACATCACACTGGCAACGAAGATCCGCCTAGTCAAAGCAATGGTCTTCCCCATAGTCACGTATGGATGTGAGAGCTGGACCTTCGGGAAGGCTGAGCAAAGGAAGAGAGATGCTTTTGAGCTGTGGTGCTGGAGGAAAATGCTGAGAGTTCCTTGGACCGGCAGAAGATCCAACCAGTCCATCCTCAAGGAAAGAAAGCTTGACTGCTCATTGGAGGGAAGGATAGTAGAGGCCAAAGTGAAGTCCTTTGGCCATATAATGAGAAGACAGGAAAGCTTGGAGAAGAGAATGATGGTGGGGAAAGTGGAAGGTAAAAGGAAGAGGGGCCGACCAAAGGCAAGGAGGATGGATGGGATCCTTGAAGGGACTGGCTTGACCTGGAAGGAGCTGGGTGTGGCCACGGCCCACAGGGAGCTCTGGACTGAGCTGGTCCAGGAGGTCATGAAGAGTTGGAACCGACTGAGCAAATAAACAACAGACTTGTAGCATGAGTAGCTTTATAGAAGCTCTTTGGCTTAGAAATGGAGTTGAGCACCAGAGTCCCAGAGTCAGAGGAAAACCTTTACATTTACTAGAGCTGAAAATAATAATAATAATAATAATAATAATAACAATCTATCTATATAGAAAGATAGCAAGGGCAAGATGGATGGGTGGCATCCTTGAAGTGACTGGACTGACCTTGAAGGAGCTGGGGGTGGTGACGGCCGACAGGGAGCTCTGGCGTGGGCTGGTCCATGAGGTCACGAAGAGTCGAAGACAACTGAACGAATGAACAACAACAA